CTCCTTCTAGGATGAAATGACATAGATGTTAGGCCTTTTGAAATTCTCCTGAAGGTCCCTGAGGGTCTATTAATTTGTTTTTAAGTATTTTTTTCCCTCTGTATTTCAGATTGGATACTTTCTGATTTGTTTTCAAGTTCAGTGACTTTCCTTCATCTCCATTCTCCTATTGAGCCCATCTAACAGTGAATATGTAAAACTTCAGATACTATATTGTTTTCAGTTCTAAAATTTCCACTTGGCTCGTTGACACTTTCTATTTCTCTTCTGAATACCACCTTTCCATTCTTCAGGAGTGTTTCCTTCACATCGTGGAGCATGGTTATATTGTTGCTTTAAAGTTTTTGATAATTCCAATATCTGAGTTCTGTTAGAGATGGGATCTGTTGATTGTTTTTCATTTCAGAACAAATCAAAATTTCCTGTTTTTTTATATGTAATTTTCTATTGTATCCTGGACATTTTCAATATCATGTGAGACTCTGGATCTTGTTAAAAATCCCCGGAAAATGTTGACTTTGATTATTGTTTTGTTTCAGCAGGAAATCAAACAAGTCAGGTACAGGCTGCAAGTTCTGTCTCACTTTGTGTGGGTGGCAGGCCCAGTGTTGGTTCAGGTTTCAAAGCCCTTGCGGTGCTGTGCAGGCTTGGATGGTTTATATTGTAATGTGGTTTCCAACACCGTTGCTACGCTTCTTTGTGTCTGTTCCGTGTGGGCCTGGGAGGAAAGCCAGAAACAGTGCTTCCCCTTCTCCAGCGCTCCCCTCTCCAAGACTTCCTTCAGAGTCTCTAGATGACAACTCGGTCTCCTTTAACCAGTTCCTCTGGCTAGAAAGACAAGTTTTCCTCAGGGTTTTAGCCTCCTAACCTGTTGTGAGTTCTGAGAATATGAGTGAAGAGAGAGAAAAAAAAAACAGGGATTCTCTCCATACTTTCCAGCTTACAAATTTATTAATAAAGAATTATTCATAATATTCTTATGATAATCTAAATCACTTTGTTTTTATTACTTTCTTTTCTTTTTTGGGGGGCGGTAGGGTCTTGCTGTGTTGCCCACGCTGGAGTGCAGTGGTGCAATCAGAGCTCACTGTAACCTTGAACTCCTCGGCTCAAGCAATCCTCCCACTTCAGCCTCCTCAGTAGCTAGGGCTACAAGTGCATGCCATCACGTCAGGCTAATTTTTACATTTTTTTGTAGAGAAGGGTCTCGCTATGTTGCTCAGGCTGGTTTAGAACTCCTGGCCTCAAGCCATCTTCCCACCACAGCCTCCCAAAATGCTGGGATTACAGGTGTGAGCCACCATGCCTGGCCTAAAACGCAGCTACTGAAAATTTCTAATATGTAAAAGATGACAAAATGTATCATATATCCATGTATTCATCCCCCGACTTCAACTATTAGTCTTATTTTATCTATGTGTCTCCTTGCTTCTGCCCTTTACATATTAGAGACAAATCCCAGACATTAAATCATTTCACCTGTAAATAGTTCCATGTTATCACTAAAGCCACTAACCTCTGTACTATTATCAAACCAAATGAGTAACTTACTATCAAATATCAGTGTTCAAACTTCTAATTGTCTGTTAACGTCATCAGTTCCCCCCACTTATAGTTTGTTTGAATCCCTAAGTTCGTTTGACTTTTATATCTCTTTTATCTATAGGTCCTTCTGTTTTTATTTTTTCCTTTGTCATTTATTTATTAAAGAAACACAGATTTTTTTTCTTTTGCTCAGCAGGTCTACTTCATAATTGGTTTGTCTCATAATAGTTTTTAATTTCTGCTGTACTTGATTTAAGACCTTTTCCACTCCTAATATTCTAGATAAATCTTGGCAGAAGGTTGCCTATTGCTACCTATTACAAAGAGCCAGCTTTGGGTTTGAGTGATTTACTCTTTTTGTATCTTTGTTTTTAATTTCATTTATTTCTGCTTTTTTTTTTATTTCAGCATATTATGGGGGTACAGATGTTTAGGTTACGTATGTTGCCCTTTCCCCCCCTCCTCCCCTAAGTCTGAGTTTCAAATATATTTCTGCTTCTTAACAATTATTACCTGTTACTTTCTTTGCATTTGTCATTCTTTTAACTTCTTGAATTGAATCTTAGCTAATTAAATTTCAATCTTTTTTTCTTCTAAAGGAAGCATTTTTAGTCATAAATTCCCTCAAAGTACTATTTTAACTATACCCCACAATTTTTTAATATACAGTATTTTCATTCTTGAATTTTATATGTATTCACATTTCTACCCTGACTTCTTCTATGACCTATAAATTAATCACTAAGTAGCACAGCATTAAACTTCCAAACATATGGGGTTTTAAGGTAATCTTTTGGTTGCTGATCCCCAGTTCAATTGTGCCGTTGTCGGAGGATGCTCTGTTTGATACCGAACACTGGTACATGTTCAGACTTCCTTGGTAGCCTAGTGCATGTATCAGTTTTGACATATGTTTTATGCATGCTTGTAGAGAATGCATATCCTCTGGATGTTGAAAGCAAGATACCATGTCCATTAGGCATATATTGTGTTGTTTAAATCAAATCTTTCTAGTTATAATTATTTTTTTATATGCTTGACCTATTAATTACTGAAAGAGGTAAAAAAAATTACTCACTGTAAATGTGGATTTATCAATGTTCCCTGGCAATCATCAATTTATGTTTGTATATTTTGAGGCTGTATTATTAATGCCTAAGATTTTAAATTATCACATCTTCCTTGTGAATTAGTGACATTCTTCATTTCTATTTTAATAGTTACATCAGCTCTCTTTTTGTATTTGTCTGGTAATTTTTTCCTATTTTTGTACTTTTAAATTTTCCTGTAATTATCCTGTGAACAGGATACATTTGGATTTTATCATTTGGTTCATTAATTATTTTTGCCCAGAAATACCTGAATTTTGCCCTCATTCTTTGTCT